ATACCGTTGGAGATGCTCTTTAATGCGCTCGACCAGGGGCTCTGTGTACAGTAGTAATCTTCGGTTTTTACTTCGCTCACCGCGCACTGCTTAAGTTGGCCTGGTGCTGCAACGCGATTAGTTAACGGCTGAAATAAAGTAAGGGTTGTTTTATTCTGCTGAATTGCAGAACTTGGTCTTATTAATATATAAGAGCACAGTTAAACAACGGGCAAATTAGATGAAAATCACCTATTCGAAGTCCGAGATTTTGATGCCGTGGTGCAGGTACGACTGTATGGGTGAATATGATCACTTTGCGGACACTGTTCAGACAATTTCAGTTGGACATACTTGACATTTGTATTGGACTTTAGGGGGTTATGGTATGGTAGTATATGGATGCACTCCTTAACGTTACAGTAACTAGTTATTAATACCAGTTACTCGGAAGTAAGAATATCGATAACGTTACACTACAATACTGTACCTTCAAATTACCGGTATCGCTCCTTCCTGTATCAACAGTCAGGCGTTCACAAGGAAGGGGGTCTAAGCGACTTCAATTGAATCACGTTATCTTATCGGGGAATACAATTGGAGACATAAGGTTAACGAAGCGACGTTACGTTAGTGCAAATCATCACTTTTCTACTCCACACGTACCTCGTTCCTTGCATCTCGAAGATTCCACGTTTACAGGAAGATCGTTGTAGATTCGGAGTCTGTTTCGAGATCTTGTCGAGGCTGTCCAATCATAGTTTGGGTTTTGAAGATTGACGCGCCATCGTCACTATGTGTATGATTGGTGGTTTTGAACGACATTGGTCAGAAATTGCGTCAACTGCCTGCGACAGACCACTCAAATGCGCGACGAGGCAACCAGTGGAGATATCACCCCTCCAGACCCACGCTTGGGGTGATTTCATTGGCCCAACAAAGCCGCCGCCGCATGACTTTGCCCTTCGAAGGTGAACCCCGTCGTAAACAAAGCGATGTGTGACCACCAATCTTAAAGAGGGCGGTTGGAGTGAAGGGTTCGAAATCTCATCGACCCCAGCAGCTATGGTTGTTGTCACTTTAACATTGGACATCATGGGCGTACAAGTTCCGGTTAACAAGCCACTGCTCCAGTTCAAGGCCATGGACAAGTGGCTGAAGAAGCCGACCCCCCAGGACGAGCCATTTTCAGTCGAAATGAAACACATCAAGGACATTCTCAAGGAACACGACACTCAGAATCACCTCCTTCCCCTCAAATTCCACCGCCACATCAAACCCCCCGTCCACCCCCCCAAACGCCACTTTCTTGAAAAGGAAGTCGTAGCTGGAAAGAAAGTCCCCTTCAGCAAAACAATGGCCAAGCGCATCCGCATGGTGTCTCTGGCCAGAGTGACCGACGAAGCGATGGCGTTGAAGACCATTTTTGAAACGGAGGAGTACGAGGCCGCGCGAAAAATGCAACATTCCACGTCCATCTTCATGCTTAATTAGCTTTTTCTTCACTCGACCCTTCGACCCCCTTTAACTTATCGATTACTACGACGTATTTACTTCTTCAAGCCCAGCGTTGTTTATTAAGAACGCTCAAAACTGGTGCCGGTAGACACGTACATGATAGAATAGCAAAGATGACTCTGCCACATCTTTGTCATCACGACCGGACAGATTCTATGGAACCACTGCTTGGTTTTGAGATTCATTTTGATTGACCAATCCCACACGCGCTTCAAAACATTCTCGCCATCTTATTGGCTTAGAACAATATCGACTCGTCCCATATTACAAATTCCATAAATTAGCCGCGACTGGCATGTCGCATATGTGTGTCGACACCATCCACAAGCCAACTTGGCTCATTCTCAAACGTGCAAGATCATGGGAATTCTCGGAGCCAAACGCGAAGCCCAACTCAAGGCTGGCATCGAACAGTGGCTACTCAAGAAGACCGACGACGTCCCTGAACTCAAACAAATCAAGAACATCCTCAAGACCCACGACACCCAGCACCACTTGCTTCCTCTGGCTTTCCACAAACGCATCAAGCCGCCTGTATCACCACCTAGACGACTGCTTTTCAAGGCCGAAGTGGTGGCTGGCAAGCGAGTGCCGTTCACCAAGGCGTTGGCCGTCAAAGACCGCAAGCGCATGGACGTGATCTACGAGTCGGACGACTACGAAAAGGAGAAGCGCCTATCGAATTATTCGACCCAACTGCTGCTGCACTAACTGACGTGTGCAGTACCAATCTATTTAATCACTAAGTTATAGTTTCTTCAACGATGCCTCGTGTTTGCCCTACGAGGTGAGGGAATATAGCTCAGTGGTAGAGCATCGGTTTCTTAACGTTAAGTGATAATTTAAAGGGATTCCCGGCTTCCCCGGATTATTTCTGCAAGGATTTATCCGTCCTCCCCTGGGGAATAACAAGGACTACATACGAAGCGATGACCGAACTTCGAAGAAGCTCAGTCGTGAGCGAAGTAAAAACCGAAGATTACACACCGCCCCTGGTGGAGCAAGTGCGTTACAATTGGCGAAGTGGTTCCACAACATGTGGTTCTAGTATCAGCCCACGCGGAGAAATATCTTAAACACAATGATAATCCAAACTCAATTAATCGTGTTTGCCCTACCTAAAGTTATAACGTTTAACGCTTATTAATACCTCGAAGTAGATATGTATTGCTGCATGATGTTCCGTTCGGCCGGTTCACTGTAATCGAAGTATTCGAAGTAAATACAAAAATTTGAACTCTGATTGGTCTATCTACTTCGAAATTCGATTGCAAATCAAGATTTGTAATAATGATACTGTTACTGTAGTATACTCTGGAGTATAAATATCGTTAGTACTTTTAATACTAACGTTAG